TATATATATATTTTTCGGCTATTATTTGGGAGCTTTTGTTACTTTTTACCTGCGCCAGAAACTATTTACATTCGGTAGCCAAAAAAGTATATAAAACTTATAAAATTTTTGTATATAACACACAGAATGTATGTGTATATAAAAAAATATATATATTTTTTCGCCTATTATTTTGAAAGCGCATATACAATATATTTTCTCATTAATTTAAGAGCGGCTACAGTTTCATTTTCTCTTTTAATTCCCACATAAAAAATCTTCACCATCTAATTATACGTGTTCCATTTTTCAACGCACGCTGTTGAATTTATGGAGTCTTGACTAGTCTCCATTTATCATCAGATAATGACGTAAGTGTAGAAAATACATTTAATTAGTCAAGTGGAATTAATTATTTGACCTATGTCTGACAATGTAACACTACTACTTTGAAAATGACTCAAAGAGTAGAAAATATGTACTCACCCAATTCTTATTTAAGAGATTCTATACCACAAAATCCTGACTGTTCAGAAAAATGGAGATCAGTACTTTATTATGGTTTTGGGGAATTGTTTTGGTTGGTTTGGTATATGGTAATTCAGCCTGTTTAGAAGAAGAGAGAATTGCTCTGTTGCATATCAAAGCAACCTTTAAAAGTACTCATTATTCCACTTGGGTAGATAATAAGAAAAGTGACTGCTGTATATGGGAAGGTGTAAAATGTAGTAACAGTACTACCATGCCAGTAATTGAACTCTCTGTCAATGGGACAGACCCAAAACCGAATACTAGATATTTCAATGCGTCTATGTTTCTGCCATTTCAAAGTCTTGTGGTTCTAAACTTGCCTAACAGCTACTTAGTAGGTTGGTTTAAAAATGAAGGTATGGATTTTCTGATTGTATTTGAGAATACTAGTGGAGTACTTATTTTGGAGGATCTTGGCAGTTGTTGTCACGTGACCGGAAGGGATTCGAACCGTGGAAACAGTCTCTTGCAGAAATGCAGGGTAAGGCTGACAATAGACCATTGTGGTCTGGTCTTTTTCCAAACCCCGTGCATAGCGAGCGCTTAGTGCACTGGACTGCCATGCGACCAAGAAGTCACGGGTTCGAATTGTGAAAATAGTCTCTTGCAGAAATGCAGTATAAGGCCACGTACAGGAGACCTTTCTGGTCCAGCCCTTCCCGAATCCCGCGCATAGCGAAAATTTAGTGTTAAGTGTACGAGCTGTCTTTTTTTTAGTGGAGTACTTATTTAAGTGAATTTCAAATTAACTCACATGTTGAGATTATTTGACAGGTTTTGATAAGTTGTCTGAGTTAAGGAATTTGAAGGTTCTTGATTTAAGTGGTAATAAGTTCAATCTTAGTGTTCTCTCGTCTCTCAGTCAGCTTTCATCTCTCAAGTCTTTGATTCTCAGCGGCAATCCTCTGGACAGTGTGCCTACTAAACCTAGTATGTACCTAATTTCTTTATCAGTTCACTATTCTTGATTACTTTAATTTAAGTGCTTGAGAGTTATAGTAGTTTGTTTTCCCGAAAGTTGTTGAATGAATATATATATACCCATGTGGTCCGGTCCTTTTTCCGGACGCCACGCATAGCATGCACCGACAAAGTTGTCATAACCGGTAAAGTTGCTGTCCGTGAAAACAGCTTCTTGCAGAAATGCAGGGTAAAGTTGTTTAAAATAGACCCTTGTGGTCCGGNATAGAAGCATCATAAGCATACTACAAAAGTCTAAATTTAGAGCAAAGCAATATTCCAAAGAAAGACAAAGCTATACAACAACAACTCAGTATATACAGAGGTTTCTTATGTATGGCAAACCTAGTGTGAGATGATTGATTTTGCTTTCAGCACATCCATAGGTTGATACTACCATCTTAACATTTTTAAAGAGAGTCAGCAATGAAAATTCAGGCAACACAGTCATGACTAATCATTTACAGAGGTTGTCAAAGACATCTAGGACATGATCAAGCCTTTCAATAAGTCTACAAGTTCACAGATTAAAATATGAAATCCTTAAGGCTCTCTAAAGAATTATATTCCTAATAGTTTTGACTTCAAACAAATCATCATGATCAAATAGCATCAGTAAAGGCCCTTATAAGATATTAGGGAGTCAGATTTTGGTTTTAAAATTAGCAATGGGGAAAGGACTGGAGTGGTTCAGGACAAGGTATGAAATCAAGAACTAAGCAAGAACATGCAGTATTTAGTTAGCTACTTAAATACTTCAAATCAATGATGATTCTATGTAAATAGGGGAAACTTTACACATATTGTAGAATTGGATTAAGCATGACATGAGGGGAAAGAGTTAAAGATAAAGGAAAGAAATTGCATGAGAATAGGTTTAACTCAAACTTATGTCTAGGTTGGTACTTGAATATGAAA